TCACCTCGCTGGTTCCTTGCCCCAGCCATTTCATACTTCCGTCCAGTAAAGTGGAACCAATAAAGCTAAGAGATCATAGCACCATTCCCCCCGAAGGTCCTGATTATTTATTAAAATTTTCTTGCAACGGATCCTGGATTGGCTGCGTCATACCCTGCCTAAGGAAACTCGTTACAAGTGGCGCCCGAGCAGGGACCTTCGGATCAGCAGAAACAAGGAAGTAAGCATACAAGCCGTGAGCTTATCGAAACAGAGGTTAAGGAAGGAGCCAGCATGGTGAAAACATCCTGGTTGTACAGCCTGCGAAAGGAGGAGTTGAGTGAGATCTGCGGATCGCTCGACTTGGACACCAAGGGGACTGTCGAAGAGATGCGGAAAGCAATGATAGCCCTTATTGCAACCCCCGACTTATCAACGGAGATGAAGGCGAAGCTGACAGAAATGGAGGCGAAATACGCAGCAAGAATGCTGCAATTGCCGGAAGGCACCATGCGAGGTGCAAGTCCCAAGCGCCAGGCGCAAGAGCACATTTCGTGTGGCGCAACCATGGATCGCATCTGTAAGTGGTCAGTGCGCTACGATGGCGAAAGTGGCGCCCTGGAGTTCATCGCACGCGTAGAGGAACTGTGTGAAGTATACGATCTGCCGACGGATATCATGCCACGCATCATTATGGAACTGCTGCATGGTAAAGCAGCAATTTGGTACCGGAACAACCGTAGAGTATGGTCAGGGTGGCAAGAGTTCAAGCGGGAATTCCTCAAATTCTTCTTGCCCACCCGATACCTAGAACGGTTAGATGACCAGTTGCGACAGACGTTCCAGCTAGCCGGCGAGAAGTTTAGAGATTACGCGCTCCGCCTGCAGGACTTAATGCGGCACCTTGATTATACGACACAGCAGAGGCTCGACAGGATCGCCCGAAACAGCCGTAGAGAGTATCAGCTGTTCTTTGGTGATACCTCCAGCAAAGATTTGAATGAAATAATAGCGCTGGGAGAGCGTTTTGAGGACATACCCACACCAGCAACAGCAACACCCTGGAGAGAAACCGCAGGTATACCCCGCCAACCAAGAGGTAACACTCCGTTCATGACAAGTACCAGCAATGCCAGCAGGAATGTTTGTCATCGATGTGCCCAACCAAGCCACCTGGCACGTGATTGCCTTAATCAGCGTGTTTTATTCTGTTGGGATTGCGGCCTTACGGGCGTACTGACAAAGGAGTGCTGCCGACAAACTACCCGTCAAGATATACAAGCACGAGGTATGACAGTGTGTGAATCGATAGAACGAAGGAAGCCGCCGCCAGATGCGGTGCCAAAAACTGTGGAAATGACCGGAAGCACCCTGGTAGCCTCCCTCACCATTGGCGGCCTAGCGACAACAGGCGTCGTGGACACTGGGGCTACCAGAAGCATCATTCGCGAAGATTTCATCGGGTTTATCCCCCACATAATAAACTCTGAGACGAGAAGCCACACCATTCGAATGGTAGATGGCGCATCACAAGATAGCAAACGTAGCATAACGGTAGAGGCGAAGATAGGCGATATGTCCTTTAACGTGGAGCTATTGGTGGTGAGAAGAAGCGTCGACCACCTCACCCTCGGTATGGACTTCCTGGCGAAAACAGGCGCTGTGTTCATCGTAGCCGGCCATTCCGTGAAGTTAGGCAGCAAAAACAGCATGCCCACATTGCCAAGCGAACTACTATTCGGAACACAACACCAAGATTACGCGTTTGGTTTAGACGCATCTGGTTTGAAAGTAGAGCCGCTATCAACCGGGGCTGAGCATTATTAGGAAATTGTTCCTCCGCCACCACCTATTGATCAAGCAAAGCGTAGCGTTCACGAGAGCGAAGTAGAAAACCAAAGCAACCCTGAAGACAACGACCGCAACAGAAAGATGCATAAAAAGCCTGCAATAACTGAACAGAAGATTATCGAAGTAAAAAAATTATCATCTTGCGAAGTAGAGAGAGAATCCGGGCCAACTAATACGAAGAGAGCAACAATAGATGTCCGAGCAGCAAGAACAATGCCCTCAACAACAAAGAACAAAGCAGCCAAAGCTGCAACAACTAGGCCTGATATTCCAGAGCCTAAGTATGGAACCCATGAAAGGGTCGTGAACGCAACCGTGAGATCAGCGAGAGCGTTCAAGGAACTACACAGCGTTACGACACGAGGAGCTACTACAATCGCGATCACAGCACCCAGGAAAACTAACAAGAATAAAAAGGATCTAGGTTACAGATCCAAAGCAGGCAAAGTCAGCAACATTAGCGCTAATACGACTAGTAACAAGAGAGGGCAGCGGTTGCACCATCGCCCACAGCAAGGGCAATTTAACGACGTAGCCTTATCGTCACCCAACACCTTCTACGGTTCCAGCACCGATATGGAACGTACGAGCGATGCAGCGAAACAAGCATACATCTGGCACAATCAAGCAGATAAATGGTTACCGCTGCAGAAGGGGGACAAAATTCCAAACCGTTGCAGCACATGTATAGGGCGGTGAGCCGTCTAGCGAAAAAAGCGGCAAAGAAAACAAAATTCGAAAAAATATCCCGTAAAAAAAAAAAGAAGAAAAAAACTAAGAAAATCCACGAGAACAAAGGAAAAAAAACCTGAGAAAACCAACGGAAAAAAACAACAAAGAAACAGCAACAAAAAAAAGCAATAGCCATAAACACCTCAACAGTAGCCAAGAAAAGATCAACCGAGAAAAATCAACAACAAAAAAAAAACATAACAGAAAAACATCAACAGAGGAAAATCAACAACAAAAAAAAACACAACAGAAGAACATCATATTCAACAGAGAAAAATCAACAACAACAAAAAAAAAACACAACTGGAAAACATCAACACCAACAGAGAAAAATCAACAACGGGAAAAAAAAAACACCAAAAAAAAGGCAATAGCCATAAACACCTCAACAGTAGCCAAGAAAACATCAACCGAGGAAAATCAACAACAAAAAAAAAACACAACTGAAAAACATCACCATCAACAGAGAAAAATCAACAACAAAAAAAAAAACACAACAGAAAAACAGCAACATCAACAGAGAAAAACCAACAATGGGGAAACAAAAAAAAAACAACAGAAGAAGAAGCAGCAAACCAAAAAAATATAAAACAAAAATAAATAACCAAAAAGAAAAAGGAACCAAGAGCTAAGAAGAAAAATAAGAAAAAATGGGAAAAAAAAGAAACACTAAGTAAAACAAAAACAAATACAGGAAAAAAGAACATTGGGAAAAAGTAATAATATACAAGCAAAAAAAAAAATATTAAAAAAAAAGAAAACACTAAGAAATGCAACGAGAGTACAGAAAAGCAAACCCAAAAGAGAAAAAAAAAGAAAAAAAAATATTAAAAAAAAACATAATAGTCAAGAGAATTCAAGGGAAAAAAAAATATAAAAATACATATCAGAACGAGTATCAAAAAGCTAAGGAACAGCAAGACCAGCCGACAAAATCAACAGGTCCAGGCCACCACAAAACAAACCAAGAGCCCGAGGTCGCATCAACAGCATCTGAGGAAGGGGCTAGGCAAAACAATCCAATGACAACAACAGCACGCTAGTAACGCAATGAACTTAATGCAGCCACAAACAGCATCGAGAATAATACAACAGATAATAACCAGGCAAAGAGTGAACCCAAGGGAAAAAAAGCCAAGTGATCAGGCAAATGCTAGGCAATGAAAAGCAGAGGCTCGTATAACTGTTACAAAGACTGAAGGAGAGTTCGAAGTATACTAGGCGAGAACAATTAATAATAGCAGTAATGAAGGAGAATCAAATGGATCACACAGGTCGATCATATACAGCCAAGAAGAAACACATCAGACCAACAAGTTGGATCACCGCTAATCAAGGCATGCAGGTTGCACTACTAAAAGCCCCGTTAGCGGCTCATACACAACGCCAGCCTAAATGGCAAGCAAACAGCACTTCAAGTGTGACACGCATCGTGAAAGGAGCAAGAAGAAGTGAAGGAAAAGTAGTATCTCCAGAAATTCATACAGCAGCATGGAACGCCGATTCGCTACCTATGCCAAAATCGACATCTCCAGCGGGGATTTCCAACGGTTGGCCCCCGGCCGCTGGCTCAACGACCGAATCATAGAATTATATAGCCAATGGGTGTTGAACCAGCAAACAGCGGCAGGGATTAGGGACCACGTCCATCTGGCCTCTCCCTTCCTATACAGGAAAATCGCGCAAGCAGCCCCCAACGAAAAATTCCTCCTCCGACAGGCGCAGCGCAACCAAGTGGCAGGAAAGAAATGCCTGATCATCCCAATCTGCGAGCAAGCCCACTGGCGCCTATGGATTGTGGCTCACCCCGATCTTATGGCAGAAACCAGCGCGATGTATGTCATCGACCCACTAGAGAACTATCCGACAGAAGAGATAGCAGCGCACATCCGACGCTACGTCCAACTCCTAAACCGGTGGAAGCACGGCCAGGATTTAAAATGCGATTCGCAATCAATGCCGCTGCGGAAGGTCCAAGTCCCGCTACAGGCCAACCAGTCAGATTGTGGCGAGTACTTACTCCGGAACCTCGAGGCATACCTTCAGCAAGATGAGACCAGATGGGACCCGCACGCCTTGCCGCTGGCCTGGTGTACGGCGGCAGCGGCCCAGCGAACCCGGACGAAAATAGCAGCAGTGCTGCTGAAATTAGCAACAGAGGAAGAAGAAATCCGGGCCAGCGCCTGTGAGCCCGTCGACGACGTCGATGACGTCAGCATCACAACACCCACCGCTGAGCCAATTACGGTGCGGACGATGACGACCGAAGAACCACCCAGAATGACCGCCGCTGAGGAGCCAATTAAACCGTGGACAACCGAGGAACCCGTCACCATGGGCGTCATAGTCCCCCACGACCCCGAAGAGGACTTACGGCAAATCCAGCCCACCATTGCGCTGTTAGGTGGTGGGCCAGCCACCCCAAAACCGATACTCGGCGAAGGAGACGAGTGGGTCCAGCTGGAGAGGGGTGACCCATTCGACTGCTACTTACGCGACAAATATAAGACGGGACAAAGGAGAGGCCGTTTTTATGACTTCCTGGGGGGCCAGTCGTGCCGAACCATCCGAGGTCGGGGGCCGCTCCGTGCTTTCCGCCTATCCCGAAGTGAGGGGGGGATGTAAGGAAGCGATTTTGCTTCCTTACGAAACACAAGTCCGTCCGCCCTAGACATGTATCTCCAGCAGGCAACCCGCCAGTCCGATCTGTCCGTGCACGCCCGAAGACAAGCAGCCCCCTCCAACTTCAAATGCTGAATCACAAATGATACTGGCAAAGTTAAAATCATTAAAACGCACACCTATGCGTGAAAAATTAAAATCTCAGAAACTATTTGTGTAAAAGTAAGATCTCAAATCATTCCTGTAAAATCAAAATCTCAAACACACTAACTCAAG